ATCTCTTGTGTTACTTTACAAGAAATTATTACCTTGACAGGAGAACATCTTCGGCTTCAGGCAATCTTACACGCCTAAGAAAGCGCTTGCTTACAGTAAATGGGCAAAGTCCTCAGAAGACAGCCCTCTTTCTTTTAATCATCTCTTTACTTTTATGGCGTCGTTTTTTAGACTTCTTGAGTGGGATACACAAAGATGCCTTATAAAAAGTTACGTTTGGCTATTCAGTAGACAATATAATTTTACTGTAGTCTATGCAACTGCACCATAGAGAAATGCAATACGGTGTAAAATAAGAAGTCATCGGAATGGGTTATTTTTCTTTTAAATTGAGCTTTATTCAATTGTGTATCAGTTTGCAGATTAAAGCCACAAGCAGGCAGGTTTATTGTTTAGTGACAGCTTGAAAATGTAATATAATTTAGATGGTAAAAATTGTAATAAATCATAATTTTCGTAAAAATAGCATATAATTATCAAACAACCAATAATGTTTCCAGTAATGATCATACTAAGCGAACATGGAACAATGTAATGCTTTTTTCATCAAAATATCAAAGATTTATAGCACAAGATATTTTCATTAACTCAAAGATCGCACTTAGCACCATCAACGGAATAAGTAAAATGTAAAAAATATACAATACACATTTTGTGCATGTGGGGTTTTAATAATAGTTACGTATTCAATGTCGCTTTGTAGATCTGTGCGCTCTGAGCGGCGCTCCCTCTGGTGGATAGCCTAGGTTTCTGTTCTTGCCGTGTAACCCCGAGCTGCTAATAAAGTTGTAATGGGAACCTCTGGCATTGTGAAGTCTCGCGATAGTTGGTGTCCTGGTGCCCTTGTTCGTGGATCCAAAATGGGTTACTGGGACCTGCAGGACGGCAAGGACTGTGTCCAGAAAACATGGATCACTACTAAACTGAGCGCTGCCTTGGGTGAGCTGGGCATGTCACGGAAGCAGTAACCGTGCTTTGAAATGGTGTTTCTCGAAACAGCGGCACGGTGGTGGGAAAGATAAGACTTTATGGAGGTGGCCTAGCTTGAAGCTGGAATCATTATAAACTAGAGATTAAACGTCTTTTGAGTAACGAGAGAGTTAACAATTGTATTTTCCTTTGTTAAAAATGTTTTCATGACCCACTAAGCATTATTTAAGGTTATTTTCACAAAAGTAACCTGTCACTCTTGCAGGTTGTATGGTTCTCTTCTTTAACCACTGACAGAGGCAGTTATCGCATCTTTAGTTTCCTACATAGCACTAAGTTTCCCACTGGTAATTTATATACGGGAAACGATGTGGGGCTGATGACAGAAAGGCTTGTTGAATATCAAGGACCGTACCAGATGTGAATTTTATTTTTTTTCCAGCAGATGTGAAACATGGCGGTTTACAGAATTGCTTTAGAAGTGAATAAATTCACTTCTGTTAATGTTGTTGCTGTTTAATGAGCCCATATCATTAGAAAAGTCAATAGCAGAGCAATTCTTATTTACAGTGATGATCTAGAGAGTCCCTGTCTGTACAGCAGCGCATTTCCTGCAGAAAGTTCAGCGCTTGCTCAAGAGTTCAGCTGCAGAAGTGCATCCTTCTTTACTGTGCGGTTGTCGGGTTGGTGTAGCTGTAGTTAACTGTTGTGGAGATAACTGTTGTATGGTGCTGTTTTTATTCTAGGCCTGGTTGGTTCAGCTTATCACATAATAGCATTTCAGCCTGATTCTGTTATCAAGGCAATAGAGAGAGCAACAGCTGCGACAGTCACAATGGGTAAGTGCTTCCTTTCTGCTCCTTCTTGCCTGGGATTAGGTGCTGAATTTGGGAAAGGCCACATGTGAATAATTATGCTGCTTTCAGGATTATACAGTAGTGCTAGTACACTGTCATTATAGGTATAGGATTGCCATGTGTGCTGGTCCGTTTTGGGTGCTTTAAATAATAGCAATTTCTTAAATTATATAGCACTTTTCTGGACACTCCACTCAAAGTGCTTTCCAGGTAATAGGGTCTCCACTCCACCACCACCACTGGATGATGTGACGGCAGCCAGTGTGCACCAGTCCACTCCCCACACACCAGCTCTCAGTGGGGAGGAGAGCAGAGTGATGAAGCCAGTTCAGAGATGGGGATTATTAGGAGGCCATGATGGGTAAAGGCCTGGGGGAAGTTTGGCCAGGACACCGGGGTTAATTAAATAACGGTTCTAGGCCGGAATGTAGAAGGCAGGGATTCCCTTGCAACATTCCTGATTCCAGGCCCCTTTCCCCCTGCAGCTTCTCTGGGCGCGATCTTCGGCATGACCACCTGTTTGAGCGCACAGGTCAGGGAGAAGCCGGACGATCCGCTCAACTACTTCATTGGTGGCTGCGCTTCTGGGATCTTTCTCGGAACCCGGAGTGAGTTGGTTGGGATCTTCGGGCCCAAGGGAGGAGGCTGGACAAGTGCACTGCATCTCATTTTGGCCTCTTGCTTTTCTTCGACTATCCAGTATATCCAGCTACTGAGCTGAAAAAGAGCAAGTAAAGGCTTATTCCGTGCTAAAAAGAGAGGAAAAGAAACACATTGTTTTGGCCGTGGAGCCTTCTTATTGTGTTTTTCTTCTCTTTTCAGCCTGGAATAAACCTTTACTTGTTCCTTTGCAGCCTACGCATGCTGACACAGCTAGCTAATTGAACTGTTTAAAAAGAGCCTATTTAGCCTAGTTTCCCTGGTTATGTGGCTTATTGATTATAGGACGTGCCACTGAAAGTCAGTGTATTATATATCTTTTAAGCCTGGTGTATTTAAAATGCATCAGATTCATGTTCATGATCCTTACTGGCTGGTTTTTGGTGTGTGCTTGCAACATTTTTGCACCATGGGTCCCTCAAATGTGGCTGGAAAACTGCTCTTACACATGGTTGTGCAGTGTAAGATTGGAACACCAAACTCACAATAATGGCAGATCACATTGTGGGGATGATAATCCTTTTCTCTTCACTTTTATGTGAATCTGCAGCTCACAGTTACATGACGGGAACGACAGCCTGCCTGGGACTGGGCACGTTGGCGGCGTTCACCAAGATCGGAAAGATGGAAGGCTGGAAGATAGCAGGCCCACCGGAGCTGTAAATGCACTGACATGTAAATCAATGAAGATTATTGTTAAATAAATGTATTTAAACAAAGAGTTCTTGTGTTATAAGGTGGTGGTGATTGTTTTTAAAGTGTTGTCTTATAATGATATAATGTTGATAATAAGATTTTTATTTTTTAATAATAACAGTACTCAGTTAAGCTAAAAGTAACGTTTTTAGTTTGTACATACATTAATAGTTATAAAATGGAGCAAAGAGTGTTACAGGGTACATATGTTTTATTGAAACCCCTGGTAGAGGTAAAGTTGCTGTTTGGTAGAGCTGCCAGATGAGGGCAGTATGACTACATCATGAATGAACAGTTCCACTGCCTGTGGGCTCAGCACAGGATACCCTTAACTTGACATACAAGGAGGGGGTTTAACATTTCTGAAAAGGTCTGCTGACACCAGACACGTGGGCTCGGGGGAAGAGCTGGCCTTTGGCAGCTTTCTTGGTGTAACCAAAGCTTTTTAGAACTCTGAGAAACAAGCTTCAAAAAGCTTTGCACAGCTATAAACGTTGTGATTAAAATGCCACAATGCCGCATTTCCACAGATAGGTCCTTGGCAAAACCATCCAGTTTCTCTAGGGGCTCCTCCACCACAATGCAGAGTTTTTAAAGTGAACGGGTCAAAAATCCCGAGAGCTGATGGAGATGACCTTGCTGTGAGAAGATGACCAGCTGTCCACACTGCTGCTTTTTGAGAAAGACTTGGCAGTTGATGGATTACCCCACCAATGGGGAATGTGTGGAACAGATATTGGGCCGAGAGTAATATTACGATATAGTTTACTTGGATTACAAACTGTACCGTGAACTTGGCTACACACATGGGGAATTTCTTCAGTAAGACTTAAAATCCCCTAAGTTCAGAAGAAAACCTGTAGTGGATCTAATGCCTACAGAATGGGAGTCTGAATTCCACTGGCACGGTTGATCAGATTCTTTCACTGTGGCAGCTGTAGTTGCCTCCAATTAGTCCCCATCGCTCTTTGTAGCTGAGATATGTGTGGTGCTGGAAAGTCATGTCTGGTGTGCTGTAAACAAACAAATCCTCTCAAACCATCTTGCATGTTTCTTCATGTCTTTTCATTTTTGGCTCTGAAGCAGGAGTATGCTACCTCCTTCAGAGAAAACATTTCCTTATGAATTCCGAGTATTTCAAAATATCTAATTTTGTTTGCAGATCCTGTATCAATATAGAAAGGCTGGAGTTCGTCAGTGGCATATTGAGCTGGGGTAGGAGCCAAATGGTTCAGGCCTATCCCTGCCACCTCTCCCTTCTTGCATGTCAATATTCACTTCTTAACATGTTTTATCTTGAGTAAGTGAGCGATAAACTAATATATTACTAATCATTCAGGCATAAAACCTAACTAACTGGATTCTGTTCAAGTGTTGTGAGTGAGGAACTTTGGGTGGCCTGATCTAAAAAAAAAGGTCAGCCTGCTGCCTGGGTGAGCCAGGGATCAGTGCCCGTGGTACCGATTACTGATTCCCCTTACCTGGGGAACAGTGTCCCAACCAGCCATGGTGCTACTACCAGTGGCAGGTTAATCCTGGCATGTTGAAGGACTGTCATCAGTCTTGGCAGGAACTGCTCAGTGTAAGACAGCCCTGCAGTGTATCTTGAATCTGGCTTGATGAAAACCAGCTGGGAGTGGTCCAGGTAGTAGCTTGGGCTTTTCAGCCAAGTTCGGCCCCTTTGGATTAATCCTGTATTCAGGGAATTCAAGGCAGGGACACAGTTTTTGCATGAGCAGTCATCAACATGTAGCCTGTGTAGGAAAACTGTGTAGGAAAACGGTGACTTGATTTGGGTAAAGCAATACTCTAAATTAGCTCACTGACTGGGACTACTAACAAATGATGACAAATATATACTTACTAGGCCACTGAGATGTCAGTACAATAACCTTTTCAAGGGCTGTTATTTTAATGATTGAGCAATGACTATTTTTTCCTTCACAGAATAGGCATTGTATGGCTGCACATGTCATTCATTAAGATTGAGTGATTTACTGATGTTGTCCCATTCAGACAACATGCAGTGTAACTCCTCAGCATGTGTAACCAGCCTTGCAGACATTACCACAGGTCATAACTGTAACAGAATTCCCAAAACAGGGAAAAAATACTTATTGTTTCTGGCAATAGGCAAATAGGTTTCACATGTGAAATGGGAAAAAAATTATTAGAAAATGGTTCATGTGTAATAATGCTAGGAGTTACAGCAGATAGATGATTGCACTGGAGTTGTTTAAATAATCTTCTACAAATTTAAATGATTTCCTAGGGTCTTCGGGGGGAAAAAAAAAACATCTAGTGCAATCTCAACTTTTGAAAATTGCTGCTATTCCTGATGATAAATCCTAAAAATATTACAACAATGCAAGCTGGATTCGGGGGGGAAAAGCACTATCTAAACTGAATGGCCCTGCAAGTGAAATTCTTTTATGGTGTAAGACATAAAGATCAGGAAATGCGAATGGATATTTTCTGACCGTGAATGGTAAAACCTTCAATCTTAAATGTGCTGTACGGCACGTACCTTTCAGATCCACTTCTAGTTCACAGTTCAAGAACACACGACGCGACATCGCCTTGAAGATCCTGTGTTTGAAAAGGAGGTGAAGGGGAGGGGAGACTCAGTACTGAACATGCAAATCAACTGGCCGTTCCTAGGCTGTTAGTCACTGGCAATGAAAGGCGGATACCACTCCAGCCCTTCATCCCGTGCTATTGAAATAAAGGATCCTGAGGCAGAGCAACGTCATCACCTGTGTTCGAGTGCTTTCTGCATGTCCTGTACTGCTCCGCATGTGCACCATGCCTCTTCCTGCAAGGCTGTACCAACAGATCAGTAGACTTGCCCAGACGGGCATTTTCATTCCTGCCTTCCGAAAATTCACAATCTGAATTCTATGGATTCTTCTAAAACAACGGCCCAGGTTTTATTACATCCTGTGCTGTGGAATAACTCCCTAATAATAACAGTGTTGGGTTCTGGTCTAATCATCATTTTCGGAACCTCTCCCATTATCCTTTTGCTTGGGGCTTTCTTGGAGGAGTTGAGACGATCCAGAAAAGGAGTCCTGCACAGATCGGGCACCACAGCCCAATGATGCCCAAGTTAGAAACCTAAGAGTTTACTGTGGCCCGAGAATCCAGCTCTATGTCCCTCCATATTAGATGTTTCTGTTCTGTGAAGTTAAAAAAAGGGCCTGTGTGCCTGTGAACCAAGATTGCCTTTCTGCCTTTTCATGAACAAATGGTTGTACTTTACAGAAAATGTAAATATGGAGAATCTGAGGTACGAAGCCACATTGCACCCGATGTTAAGTAGTAACAATAAAATTGTCTTGTTGCTGAAGACTTGTCAGTCATTCCAAGCAGCTTTCTTTCCAGAGACTCTTTGCTGGATGTGTCCTGTGTTGTGTTGTGAGGTGGAGGGGCACTGGTGTCTGTTTGACAGGTTTTCCAGTCTGACCAGGGGCCACTGCTATGCAGCCCTTTCTGGCACCTGCAGTGGGATCTGACTGGGGACTGCGTGGCGGAGCTTAGTCCTGCATCAGTGGGTTTACTGGGGCGCAGGGAGCCCCCAGAGTGAGGAATTTCAGACCTCAGGTTTATCACCTCTTCCTGAAACAGAAACTTGAGCC